ATTTTTAAAGAGATTTTGCCCTGGAGAGTTGTAGGCCAGTAGGCCGGCCGGGGTTGCGAGGGGGAAAGGAGGCGCACGTGATTAGCAGGCGGGCCAGGGCTGTGAACAGGCGCTTTCTTTCTGAACTCAGAATTACCCCAGTGGGTATTCATCTGCAGCCCCCGGCTCAGCGAGATCCCAGGGCCAGGCGCCTTTTGGGTTAAGAAGAGAACTTTGAACTGCATTTCTTCTCCTCGTAGCGAGGGAAAACATCTGATGTGGAGCATCTCCACTGAAACTCTCCAGACTTGAAACACTTTCCATTTGAAGCTTGTAGCAATAAAAACCTCTGGTAATGAGTTCCCTGCCCCCGACAGAAGTCCTGCATCCAATTTGTACGCCATCCTGGTGAAATGGTTTACAAGACCAAGAGCAAAAAATCTAAAGGAATGCTCTAGAGAAGGAATGAAGTGCTATCGTTGAGATCTTTATTTATGGGAAGAGAAAGAGCTAAAACATTACCTCAGAACGCAAGATTACAACATCAGTCGGATATAAGGTAAATCTGTTCTAGCGGTGAAACATCAGAAACCCATAATCCTTTCTCAAAGCCCTTTTGTTATTTTAATGTCCAACAAATTATGCCCTTTTTTTAAAGAAGAGAAACACTTAGATTTGAGAGGTTTCTTTTGCTCTAGTAGAAGTAATTTCACTGGTTAAAAAAAGTTTTAATTTTCTGGAACCCAGTCTTTACTGTGCTGGCCAAGCATATGCACAAGGCTAAGGTAATTTTTAGCTTCAATAGAATTGGGTACGCTGACCACCAAGATCGGCTCCAAGTTGCTATGGCAACGGTAGTCCTAAAAAGTACTTAGGTTAAGCGAGGCATTTCGGGTTGCTAATCTGAAACTTTTTTCATTTTTTTTTTTTAAGTGGATGAGTATGGACGAGTAAATTGCAATACTTACTGTATGTATTGTCTTTGCTCTTGATGTCAGTCATACCATTGGGATCCTGCTTACATACCTTCTAAATGACTTCTAAAGAATAGGAAGAAGTATGGAAATTTGGAAGAAAATTGGGCACATGGCAAAAAAAATAAAAATAAAGAAAACCTGTTTCTCTGTAGAAGCTCTTCCATGGGAAGTCCTCAGGGGAAGTCCGCGAGAGGAGGCTGGGCAGAGGAGGACCGTGGTTCCTGTGTGCCCGCCTAGGCTTGCTGCGGGCTGTGAGGATCAGTGGGTCCGGGCCGGAAGTGATGCACCCTCAGACACCTTTATAATGTAGCAGGTGATGAGGGTGAAAGCGCATGACAAGAGCCCTATTTTCAAAATATATGAACTACAATTTGACCTTTCCTTGATAACTCAGAGTTGGAGGTCTACCAACGACATGTATTGGGTGTCTATTTACTGCTCAGGCCACAAGCTCTGTCTGGGAAAACAGCGAACGCCCTCGCACCCATGGAAGTTATATTCCAGAGGTGGGGTCACACAAAAGACGTAATCAATGAAAGACAGATGGCAGATACGTGATAGATAGGTAGTTAGATATAGATAGATGAGAGATGACAAATATTATGTCCAAAGGTGGTAAGTACTACAGAAAAAAAATAGAGGAAAAGTTCCAGAAGCTGGGATGGGACATAATTGAGAACAGGGTGGTCAGAGTGGGCCTCACTGAGGTTGGGGACATTGGAGCAGAGACCTGAAGCAGGTGAGGAGTCAGGCCAGCAGAGGTCTGGGGAAGGGCATTCCAGGCAGAGGGGACAAGAAAATGCAAAGCCCTTGATTCAGGAGGTCGTTATGAGTACTGGTTATGCATTACTATATCCTACAAAACAACAAATTTCAGGGTCTGTGAAGTTTGTAGGGTTTGCGCTCCTCCACTAAGCAACCTCAGACTTGGATGCACAAATGCTTCGTTTTCTTACCTCTTTCCTCCAAGTCAGCCCCTCTTCTTCAGCAAGGCAGTTTTGCCCCCGGAAATAGCCCTGCTCCCTTGTCATCTGTTAGCTCTGAAGTTGTGTCATTTGGGGAAACAGATGACCCAACCTGCTGGCCGTGGGCCTAAAGAAGGCCGAGGGTCTGGACCACGAGGGATCCCAATCCTTTCATACACTGTGTGTTACTTGCCTTTTACACTGAATTCTCTTCACGTCCAGGCCACGTGGTAACCTGTCCCAATTCTTTCATACCCAGCCAGCACCTGGCACATTGGGCAGCAGGATCGGTAGATGTCCTACAGATTCGAGTCAACTGTGGTATCTCTTTTGTCCATTCAAATGCCCGTCCCCTTCTTCACGGTTCTCATCGTTTGCAGATGCCAGATGAGCGAGGGCTGGGGGGTGACCGCTAGTGGGCACGTTCAGGGCCGTGTTTTCCACCAGAGCATTTCCCAATCCATGACCTCACTTGCATCCTAACCACAACCCTCCGAGGTCCACAGAGAAAGTGCTGTTAGCCTCAACGTATAGATGGGTTGGCAGATGGAAGGACGTTAAATGACTCCCACCGCAGTGGCAGCAGACCACCTAGATCTAGAGGTCCTGATTCCAAATTCCCATGTGACCTGGGACTCCCTCCAGAACAGCCAAGTCAGTCAAGGTTTGGAATTACTTCAGAAACACGAGAACTGGAGGACAAACTTTGGTGGCAGAGCCACCGTCAACATGAAAACTACACGAATTAACTCAGGAATTAACCTGGTAGATGCGAGGTGTGTGAAAGTGTGCCTAGAGATGAGCGTAGAGGGCCACACGCTCAGGAGTCCAGGGTCCCGAGTGCTGGTCTCGAGCACAGCGTTTCCCTTCCCTGAGCCTCCATCTCCTCTTCGGGGGTGAGAAGCAGCATTGTCCTGAACCCGCTTTCTCCAAGTGCAGGGGGCAAGCAAGGCGGGGTCAGTGCCCTGGAGGGAACACTGGCGTATCCCTGGGGTAGGTCCCGTGAGCGTGATTCCCCTTCCTCTGCTCTTTTGAGCCCTCAACTCCGGCCCTGGGGGCTCCGGACTTGGGGGCAGCAGTAGCTGGCTAAAATTTAGTAACATTGTTTTCACTGAATTTATTTTGACATTTCCTTTCTATTTTGTATGGCAAATGATGCTGATTTTTCGTCTCTCATAGGAATACCAAGATTTCATTCAAGATACATGTATTTAACTAAACCCGTGAATTATGAGAAGAAAAAAGTCAAGAAATAACATTAGAGGTGGGACACAGGTTTTGCAAAGATCGTGAAGGTAGTTCAGGAGTGAGTAAGTTAGGGAGAGCCTGAGCCAGATGGCCTTTGAAAATCAATGGAGAAGGGTGGTTACTAAAACAGGCTCTGGAGCCAGACTGCCTGGGACTGCAATCCCGGTTCTGCCACTTAGACCTGGATCAATCTGGGCAGGTTCCTTAATCTCCCTGTGACTCGCTTTCCTTATATGTAAAATGGGGATAATAGCACACCTACCTCAAAAGATTGCTATGTTCCGCACTTAGAAGAGTGCCTGGCTCCGTGTAGATGTTGTGTTTCCCGTTACTATCACTTGATGGGACCGCAGCCACCAAGGGCTTTTGGAAGAGAGAGGCGGCGGGCTCCAGTGACCATGCCCATCCTCAGCGGTTTACCAGAGCCCCCTTGCCCATACATACCGTTTCCTCCCCCTGAACACAGCATGCCGGTGCCCTTCCCACCCTCTCTCCTCCTGTTGGAAAGTGTGTGAGGCCTTCCATAAATAAAGAGGGCGGAGGAAAATCCGTCTGGCTCCATCGCCTATCCACACAGAATGGCGTAAACATGCCCAGGTGGTATTTGTCTTCTCCTCGTTTATCTGAGCCCCTACAAGAGTCAGCTGTGAGCCACATGTTAGATCATCTCCTGAGCCAAAGAGAAGAAAAAAGAAAAGAAGAAATATGAAGGTAGAGCCGCAAAAATAGCAGTGCGCCCAGTCACTGTCCTCTCCGGGTTGTTCCCAGCCTAGCTGCCTCCCTGTGGCGAGTCACGCTTGATGCTCTCTGTGACCAACCCAGTTGGTTTTCCCCGCAAAGATGGGCCGTGCAGCATCTTTTGAGACACCAGAACCTGACGGGGGCCCCAGGGGCACGGGATGGCCCTGACTTTGCAGGTGACCTCATGCAGAACCTCAACTGTGTCTCCATCAACAACTGGTGTACCCCAGCCCAGCCCTGCTCTGGGGGCCACAGACAAAGCCATGGGCTGTCCCTGGGACAACAGTTGCTTTCTTGTGGTGCAAGTTAACATTCTCCTGGGGTCAAATGTACAAGCCGGGCCATTCTGAGCAGGCTGACTTTTCATTTATCATCTACCGCCTGACATTCACCAAACAGAGGTGTGTGAGAGGCTCCCCACCTGCCTGCGCTCCCCCAGTGGGGGGAGCAGAGAGCACATAACTGTTCATAGATCGACTCGGGAAGTTTATTTAAAGTGAAATGTTCCTTGTATTCTTTTCCAAGGCGGTGTGACGATGCCCTAGTAGCTTGGTTGCCGTATACACACACCACACAAAGGCATCCGGAGAGTTCCTGGGCAGTGATGAGAGGCAAGGAGCCAGCCATCACTGACAGCATGGGCGGAGAGGGTCATCGTGCAGGCCATGATCTTTCCAGCAGACCAGGACCTTCTGGATTCTTGAGTTGCTATTCTTAGCACAGCTGCAAACCCGTGACCCCCATTTCCCTGGCTCCCTCCTATCCTTGATATTTCCTTTTCCACTCCCACAAAACAACTGCAAACCAAGCCGTGGCAGAATTTAGTATGACCAAGGGGCAGAAGCAGAGTGCTTTTGAGTGTGCCTTCTGAAGCCAGATTGCCTAAGTTCCAATCCTGCGTTTTTTGCCTACTGAGCGAATGACACTATGAACATGACTTAAACTCTTAGTGCCTCAGTATCCTCATCTATAAAATGAGGATAATAGTACCTACCTCAAGGGTTGTTGGGAAGATTAAACGAGCTAATACATGAAAAGCACAGTTCAACAGTGTCCATAACCTAACAAGTACAAGGATAAATGTTAGCGACTATTGTTTACTAGAAGAAGTCTTCCACTGGGCAAGGATCTCACTCCAAGATGGCCCCCAATGATTCCAGTCTCCTGGCAATCATATTCTCGATAGTTCCTTCCACACTGAATAGGGCTGACTGTGTGACCAACAGGACATTGAGGAAATGAGGGAGCATGACCCCTGAGGATAGGTCATAAAAGTCACTGCACCTCACACCTTGTCAAAGAGCCACCATCTGAAGGCTGAAGGACCACTTCCAAGGGGGCTTATTCACATGGCTGGCAAAACGGTGCTGGCCATTTGCGGGAGGTCTCAGGCCCCCCCACCCCCCACAGGCCTCTCCATAGGGCTGCTTGAGTGTCCTCACAAGATGGCAACTGGCAACCCTGACCCAAGAGAGTACGTACTGTTAATACTGTTGTCTTATCTTACATTTAATTTCTTATTCTCCTAAGTCCATATTTTCTTGAGTTTTATTAGAAGTATCAAGTGAAAGCTGTTTAAAACTTCTTATTTGATTCCTTAAGTACATATTTTCCAAAATAATGATCGTGTACAACTTTAGGCTATGTTCTTCTCTTCCTAAGCTGTAGCCCATCTCTGTTTTTCTCTCTCTCAGTCAAATGCCCCATATTCTCCCTCTCTCTCTCTTTTCCTCTTTCTTTTCTCCTCCTCTTCCTCCCCCTCCTCCTTTCTTATCCAGGAATAAAGGTCTCTATTAATGTTTGCTGTTTGCTTCTAAACATAGTAGATGGACTCTCTCTGGCCCCTTCATTTAACTGTTTTCCTGCTTTCTGATAAAAACTTTCTTAAAGAGCTTGCGGGGGAGGTTGGTATCAGCTCCACTGCATAACTAACCATCCAAATCTCAGTGGCTTAAAATATCAAAGAGTTCATATTGCTCACGTCTGTGCTTCTGCCAGGATTTAGCTGACCTAGGCTGGGCTCAGCCAAGGGCTCTGCTTCAGACATCTTGGCAGGTCTCACTGCAGGTCTATTGGTTGGTTGGGGTATCTCCACTCCATGTCTCTCATCTTCCTTTGACCAGCCTCCTTTGGCCTCTTATGCCTAATGTGGGCATATTTTTCTCATAGTGAAGCAGATGTACCAAATGACAAGTGGAAACATGAGCTTAGGAGCAGAGCTGACATGCTATCATTTCACCAAACAAGTCATGTGGCCAAGCTCAAGTTCAAGGAGCATGAAATGATATTCTGCCATTCTGTGTGGAGATAGAGGAAGAACTACAAAGTCACTAGGAAAGGATGAATACAGGAGGCATAAAGAATTGAGGCCAGGAATGCCCCACAGTGGTTCAAAGATGAATAAGAAATCTCTTGACTTGAAGCCTGCCTTTAAGGATTCAAGAGAAAAGACAGCAAAGGGATGGTCTGAGAGGAGGAAGGGCATCCAGAAGGAAGGGTGCACAACCTGAGTGTAAAGCAGTCCAGCCTAGCTCCACCCATCTCTCTACTTGCTCAAGACTCTCTCCAACCCGCCTGGAAATGCTTCAAATCTGCCGTTATCACAGCCTCTCGTGGAGCCAGCTCGCTCCAAGCTCTTGATTCTTGCTTTCTCCCGCAGTCTTGCAAGGAAAACCCACACAGGGTTGATGATTTCCAAGCTAGTCCAACCAGGCCAGTTAGACCCCTCAGTCTGCATACGGATCACCTCTTCCACAAATGAGGGCGTTTGTCGATGGTGGCTTCCTGGAAGCTTCGTTGTTTTCAATTGCAAGTACATGCTTGCCAACTGGTACGCACGAGCGATTCCCCAATGGGCGTCATTATGACAATGAGCAGAACTTTCTGTACAGAATAAAAAATAGTTTCCCCAAAGGACAGCGCCCAGCCTACATTCTGTCTTCCAAGGACTCGGTCTCCACTCTCCACTGTCCCAGAAAATGACACTCGCTGTCTGCTGGGGAGTTCTTAGAAAACTTAATGCAAACTGTGTGTTCTACCTGCTCAGGAAGGCACGGAGGTTTCCTGATGGAAGGAATATTGGCACTTATCCAGTCTGGGGTCTGCAAACTTTTCTGTGAAGGGCCCGACGGTACATTATTTTGGGTTTTGTGGGCCATACCGTCTGTGTGGCGACAGCTTCCCTCTGCTGTCGTAGCGTGAGCACAGGTACAGACAACATGTGAACAAATGGGCAGGACATGCTCCAAAGAAACTTTACAGAAGCTAGCAGGTCCCATTTGGTTTACAGGCACCTCATCACTGGCTGACCTCGGTTCCAACCTAACCCCTCCCTGGGCATAAGTGGAAACTGAGACCTCAGGCTCCTTCTCCCGCCATCACTGAATCTCACGTCTAACTCTGGCAATGGTCTTTTGGTCCCGGGCTTCTCTGAGGGGCAGTCCTCCGCTGGGACGCCCCAGTGTGAGTGTGCTGAGTGATTAGCACCCATGTCTCTCTGCTTGTCCAACAATTTTAAATATCACCCTTGCTTTTTTTTTTTTTTAATATTCCAGACTTCTGCAAGACTGAGAGATCCTTGAGGTTGGAGACCTTGCATCATCCATCTAATAATCCCAGTGACTTTTCAGCTCAGCCTCTGATGCATCAAGAGTACAATTCAAATGAATGAACGAGACTCAAAATAGAAGGGACTTGACTGAGGTTGTATAGTCTAAGAAGCAGCCATGCGGGGACCAGATTCAGGTCATGACATTGCACTCTCTCTCTGTTAATACAGTGTACTCTGCCATGGGTTAAACAGAAGGCTGGTGAAGGGGTTGGAGAATCACCGGAACACTGGTTAGGCCAGCAAATACCTACCAAAAGCCCGGCAAGTTGGAAGGCCCTAGGCGGTGTACTGCCGCAGGCGGGGAGGAACTACTTTCAAGGAGGCAGAAGTCCACAGGGAGATACACATGAAAGTAGTTCTAATCTACCCACCGGATAGATTCAGGAAAAATGTGGTTAACTTTTTTTCTTTCTACTTCTCCCTGGCTTCACTCTCCACTCCATGTATAATCATGCGCGTGCGCACACACACACACACACACGCACATACACACAGCTAGATTGTCACTGAAGAATCTAGTGTCTAGACCAGGTTTCTTGACCACTTCCCAATTCTGGGGTTCTCTTAATTTGTATGCATATGTGTGCATTTTTTTAAAAAAGAGAGTCCATAGCTATTTTTCAGATTATTGCAAGAAGCCATGATGCCTAAAACCTTAACCATAGATAAGGTAATTTCTGATACATGTCCTAGATCTATTGTGCTGGTGTAGCTGAGGTCTTTTTTAACCCCATTGCAAGAGGCCACAAAATAGTGCAGAAGTCTTGTAAGGTTGGGCTTGGGGAGAAGCCCTTTCCTCTCACAGTGTTTTCAACTCACTGCCGCTGACAGTGCTTCTTTTTCATCAGCTCTTGGGAGTTCAGACTCAGATTTGTAAGCCCCTAGTCAGCTTCAGTCATGAGGGTTGCACATTCCTGCAAAGCATGAACTTGGAATCCAAACAGCCTGTGGTCTGATCCTGGCTCCCTACTCCCAGCTGGTCTGGGACTTACTAAAATGCCCCATCTCAGCATCTCAGTTCACCTCTGTAAAATGGGAATGAAAATACCTACCTTGTAGACCTGTTGGGAACATTAAATAAATTACACATTTTAAGTGTCTAGAACAGCGCAGGGTAGATGCTTAGCCAGCCTGGCACGTAGTAGGCATTTGGCAAACATTCCTTCTCTTTCCCTATCTCTCCCCTCCGTGCTTTTTCCTATATGTGGCATCTAGAAGGAACAGTTTGTAATACGTTCCCAAGGCTGTTTTCTTTTCCTTCCTTTATTTAAAACTCAAGATTGATAAAGGGAAAGAGTTGGTCGACAGGTCTGTCCACACCTCCTTCCTTCTCTGGCTTTGGAGAAAGCAAGGAGAAGCAACTGCAGAAAAAATTGCAGAATCAACTGCAGGAGAAAGAACTGATGTTTTTTGTTTTTGTTTTTGTTTTTTTATGTGACAGAGAGAGACAGTGAGAGCAGGAACACAAGCAGGGGCAGTGGGAGAGGGAGAAGCAGGCTCCCCGCCGAGCAGGGAGCCCGATGCAGGACTCGATCCCAGGACCCCGGAACCACGACCCGAACCCAAGGCAGACGCCCAACGACTGAGCCACCCAGGCGCCCAAGAACTGATGTTTTATCAGTTATCTTTGTAGGAGGTTTGGCAATTTTGACAAGACTTGTTTTTGTTTTGCTTTGTTTTAAACTAATGTGTTAAAACATACTCATTCAAAGGCACAAAATTTCTCTCAAAGAGGCAATTAGCTTGGAAGATTTCTATAACTATTGCTCAAACCATCTTAGAAACTTCTCTTTGGAGGGCGCCTGTGTGGCTCAGTGGGTTAAGCATCTGCCTTCAACTCAGGTCTTGATCCTGGTGTCCTGGGATCGAATCCCGCATCGGGTTCCCTGCTCAGCAGGGAGTCTGCTTCTCCTTCCCCCTCTACCCCTCCCCCCTGCTCATGCTCTCTCTCTCTCTCTCTCTCAAATAAATAAAATCTTAAAAAATTAAAAAAAAAAAGAAATTTCTCTTTGGAAAGTGCCTTCAAAGTCAGCCCAGGCAATAGGCATGACCATAAACAGGCATGCTTCAGACTCACCTGTGTGCAGGCTTGGATGGCACAGTAATTCCTGCAGTCTTTTGACACACATCGACAGAGCACTGCCCAGGCCCCGTGCCCAGAACTGGGAGCTGGAGATCCAGCCGTGAACATCACAGAGGTGCAGTTCTGCCCCCACAAAGCTTGTAGTCCAGGGGCGAGACAGACACAGGGAAGGAATCACAGCAGAATATGCTAAGGCTTCTGATGGAGACTGTACGGGTCACAGGACAGGGGCACCCCGTTAGGAAGGCTTCCGGAGGGAGGGACATCTAATCCGAGTCCTGGAGGATGAGTAGGGGGTAGCCAAGTCCCCTGTGATTCCTTGGCCCTCCTCACTGAGGAGAGTTAAGAGATGTTCAGCTGGCAACTGGATTATTACCTGAGCTCAGGAGAGTGACGTCTGGGTGGAAGGTAGTGAGATGAGCGTCAGAAGCATGTAATAAATTAGGCAATTTTCCCCCTGGAAGAAGACTTTCCCAAGGGAAACTCGCACCCTGCCCCACCCCCAACCCAGATCAGATGCTGTTGCGTGTCTGGAAGCCAGGTTCGCTCTCTCCAAGGCTGGAGGTCAGGCTCCTGACCCAGAAAGCTGCAGCTGCCCCCACACCGCCTGGCCACTGGATCCCCAGGGGATCAGAGGGGGCTCTCTCAGCCCAAGCCCACCAGCACCCAGGGCGTGCTTCCCAGAGCTTTGCGGCTAGGGGACAGAACCAATCTACACGTCTCGTGCCCCTGGCCACTCTGCAGGCCCCACAGCCTAGAAACCCAGGGAGCTCCAGTGAAAGGACTGTCATTCCTGTGTCATGCTGAACTTCCCACGGTGGCAGGGCCTTGACACTGAGCTGTCTCCTGGATCACGCCCCAGCAAACACGGACATGGTAGAGCTAGCTACAAATAGCTCAAGAGGCCGGAGTGGAGAAAGTACATTGTGTGACTATAATAACAGGCACGGAGCAGAGCCACATCTGACCATGTTCTGGAAACCCTTTCCATCCTGAGATCCTTTTCTTGCTCCTCCACCTCATGTGAAGAGCTTTGGTCTCAGGGGTGGGAAGGGAGGGAGCAGTGGAGGTGCAGAGGGTTCTGGACCACTCCTGGCCTTCAGAGACTGGAGTATTAACCTCCACCAGCTGCTGTACCAGGAAGCAGGACACCCACCCCCGCATGGAAACAATCAAAGGCTGGCAGTGTCTCTTTCCTGAGAGGAATCCTAAGAGACACAGAACCGAAATGAGGGCAGATGAAAAAAAAAAAAAACAAACTGACTTTTTTTTTTTCTTGGACCATTTCTAGAAAATATGCAGGAAATCTAATAAATACAGATTTTTTAGAAGGGAGGGGGAATGCTTTCTTGGACCATTTCTAGAAAATATGCAGGAAGGGAGAGGGAATGCTTTCTTGGACCATTTCTAGAAAATATGCAGGAAATCTAATAAATACAGATTTTTAAAAATCCATCTATAACCAAAATAGAACTCTTACTGCAGTTTATTTTTTAACAAGAGGAGCTGGAGTTCTGTCCTTGACCCTACTTTTGGAATCTTGCTTTTTTTCAAGACAGGCATCAGCCTGTGTTGGCAAATACATCGGGATCCCCCACCAGGCAAGGGGGGCACAAAGTCCTTTGGAGTGAACACCCTGATGGGGAAATCCCTAATTCCAGGTCAGTCCTTGACAGAGGATCTCAGCTTTGCTTTTGCATTCCACTTTGCCCTTCACGAAGGTGACCCCTGTGTCCATAGGAATGACCCCTCCACTGCTTAACTAAAGCTGCTTCTTCCAAAGGAGGAATCGGGCCATCTCTGGCCCCACAGCCTGCCAAGTGCAGCTGCCTATCACCTGGGGGTTCAGACCCTCCCTCAAAGTCCATATAATGTGACTTCAGAAGAGAAATGTCAACAGAAGCACGGCAAACAGCACCCAGGAGAGAAAGCAGTTTGGGCCCATCTCCCTCCACCAAGCACTCTATCTCTGAAACCTGAAACAAATATTCTTTCTAGAGTATCCAGGTGCATCTGTTAGAAAACCCAGCATACACAGTCTCAAACATGCAGGGACTCCCTTGCCTCATGTGGCAAGAGGCCTGGAAGGAAACCACTGGTATGACTAAGCAAGGAATTCATCGAGGACCCGTCTCCTCTGTCTTCCTGCTCTCAGGTTCCGTGGGCCCCAGACCCGCCATCGCTGTCACAAGATGGCCTTGGCCCTTCCTGCATTTGGTCCAGGATAGAGGAGAAGGATGAAGGGCTAAGGGCCACATGCCTTCTCCACAGGACGTTTGTTTCCCAACATACTTTGAAAAGAAATGTTTAACATATGGTGAAATTGAAAGTATATTACAAGAGGCGTTTGTCTACTCAACGCCTAGATTCTATCATTAACCTTTTCCCATACTTGCCTTATCATATAGCTAGCCAGTGAGCCAGCTCCCTCCACCCATCAATTCACAGTGTTGATTTTTGAGGCATTTCAAAGTAAATTGCAGACATTGGTACACTTCCTCCCAAATACTTTAGCATCTTCATGAGGTTTGGCCTTGCCCATTCATTGGCCAGAAAGGTATCAAATGGCCACACTGCTGCAAGGCAGGCTGGGAGATTATCTATTTTAAGTTGCCTCTGCATCCTGATTAAAATTAGGATTACATAACTAAGAAAGACATGGCAGCGGACTTTGGATAGGCAGCCAGCAGTCTCTGCACGTAAGGAACATCTTTTTATAAAGTTTGGCCTCCCTGGAATCTTGCCTGAAAATGTTCCCAGAGCCAAGCAATGATGCGGAAGATCATGACGGGGAGATTTTGGGGCAGAGCCCATAATGATTCGATGACCTAACCTCTGGCACATTTAGGAGCTGATCCCTTTGGGGACACAGACAGACCGAGGAACTGCCCCTCTCTCCCTATGTCAGCTCCTGGTATGGCTCTCAATCTCACGGTCTCAAAAAGTTCACCAGACGACCAGGAGGTCCACATTTGTGAATATTTACATAGTCAAGTCACATGTATCTGATGGCCAGGCTTCCAGAAACCCAGCCCACCCAAAATGTAGGCTAAACCAGAGTAGAGGCATGTATTTCTACTTTCTGAAAATACGTGGCGAGGGAAGAGTAGGTCCTGGGTGAGCACTGGGACTTGAGTCCTGGTTTCAGGTCTGCAGCTAACCAGCAAGCCATCACCAATTCACTTCTTCCTGGGCCTTCTCTCCTTTGCTTGGGACATAACGTATGTAAGCTGACAAACAGCTCTCATAGATGAGCCATTCTCTGGATTGTGCCTGGGATGATTTTATTGCAACCACATGATCTCTATCTTTAAGAATTTGATGTCTATGCAGTTGAACAAAACCTATTTCTTTATCCTGCAGGCCATACATTGGTAATTACAAGTAACATAAGGCAGTAAGTGGGCACAGCATTGTAAGAAATGACAGCCTAATGGAGAAAGGAAATAAAAGTACAAAAGTATCGCCGTATGGGGTCATTTAGTGAAGGGGTGAAAACTCTACACACAGCTGCCCCATGGACATCCCCATACCACAGCACAAATCTATAAATGATGATTATAGTGATTACCCTGACCTATTACAATGCCTCAATTATGTTCAGTTAAATCTGGTTAAGAAGGTAGAGGCATTTGTAACTCATTCTGGAAATATTTCCATAAAATGTTTAATATTTTCAATGCTAACTGCACTTAAGTTACCTGGATAATTCACTTACATGTTTTGTTTCACTTCCCAATGATGTGGGATAAACTACATTCTGCTATGTCCTACACAACGGTTACAAACGCACTCACCTGTTGACTCAACAGGTAGGGTGCCATCGCTGTGGGAAGAACCGTGAGTTCACAAGAAGTACAAAAGGGTGATGGAAAATTAAAGGAGGGAGAGAGAGCCAATTTGAATTTCAGGGAGGCAACAGCCCTTCTTCCACACCTGTTGTGGCTGCAGAGCATCAGATGGACAGCGGTGGGGAAGACCCTCCTGTAAGAATAGGGGGAAGGTCCAAGGGTCCAGGAGTGTGGAGGGTACTTCCAGAAGGCAGTGGGGTTTGGTGTGGCCAGAGGAAAGTGCCAAGGGGTGGGTTATGAGTGATATGGAAAGATATTTGGATGTTATTGGCAATAAAGAGTTTTGACTTACCTATAGACTATGAGACATCATTAAAGGTGTGATATCACCTAGAGATAGAGACTCAATAGAGGTTGCAATAGCTCAGTGAAAAACTCACAGAAGAGTCCAAGCAAGGGTTCAAGACATGTGCATGAATTCTCATAGCAGACTTTATCACAATTGCCCCAAATTGGAAAGAGCCAAATGTCCTTAGGCAGAAGAACGGATAAACAAGGAGTCGTTTATCCACACAATGGAAAACTGCTTGGTAATATAAAGGAATGAATTACTGCTAAAGGCAACTACAAGTATGAATGTCAAAATCATTATGCTGAGTGAAAGAAGCCAGACCTCCCCCCTCAAAAAGAGTATATAATGTATGATTCCATTTATATAAGATTATAGAAAATACAAACTAATCTATAGTAGGAGAAGCAAATCAGTGGTTCCCTGGGATGCTGGAGGGGGCGTTTGGATGGCAAATGGGGCACAAGAAATATTTTGGAGGTGATGGAAATGTTTTATATCTTTATTGCAGTAGAGATTTTATAGGTATATGCTTCTATTAAAACTAATGAATTACACATTTTTCTTTTTTTTTATAACAATTTCTGAGAGAGAGAGCATGAGCAGCATGGTTGGGGGAAGAGGGAGAGGACAGAGAATCTTAAGCAGGCTCCACACCCAGCAAGGAGCCCAACCTGGGGCTCAATCTCACAACCCTGAGATCATGACCTGAGCCGAAATCAAGAGTCTGATGCTTAAACCAACTGAGCCCCCCAGGTGCCCCAAATTACACATTTTAAATAGCTGCAGTTTACTGTACATATATCAAACTGCAGTAAAGTTGATTTTAAAAACTAAGGCGTTTTTACATCCAGGGGCACCTGGGTGGCTCAGTCGGTTAAGCGTCTGCCTTTGGCTCAGGTCATGATCTCAGGGTCCTGGGATGGAGCCCTGCCTTGGGCTCTCTGCTCAGCAGGGAGTCTGCTTCTCCTTCTCCCTCTCCCTCTGTGCTCTCTCTCTCTCTCAAATAAATAAATTTTTAAAAAATCTTTAAAAACTAAGAAGGACTCCTGGACAAAGATGCTGGATGGAACTTATCTACTTTCATCTTTTCGACCAAATAATAGTAAAATCAGTTTTTAAAAAGGCATATAAATACAAGGACAGTAACATGAAAAAGGAGTCATTAGCAACAAAATTAATAGAAACTGGAAAGGATGGAGTAAACCTGAGATGACTGAATCCTAAGGGGCCAATAGGAACAGCCAGGACCAACTC